ATGAGTATTTTACTATAGTAATCATCTCGCCTGAAGATCGCGTTGTGGGAGCTGGAACAATCTTTGTTGAACGCAAGTTCATACATAGCACTGGGCTGGTCAGTCTTTATTGTGAACTCGAATTTTTATATTTCTTTAATCCAAACATTACATCGTTTACAGGTTGGACATATCGAGGACATTGCTGTTGACGAGAATCAACAAGGCAAGAAACTTGGTTTACGGTAATGATAATAATATATTTTGTTTTTTTATTTATGACTGCACTTATATAAACTTTATATAATCTGCCGTGCTAGAATTATTCAAGCTCTAAAATATATTGGAGTCAAAACTGGGTGCTACAAAGGTAAATTGCTTCCATAAAGATTACGCTGTTTCCTTATACTCTTTTTTTAACATTTTTTTGAAAAAATTTCAGTTATTTTAGACTGTTCAGAAAAAGTGAGTAGTTTCAATGCATTTTTATTTTTCCTTCAATTTCTAATGAATGAATATATTTTTCAGAATGTGCCTTTCTACGAGAAATGCGGGTATGAATTTATTTTGTTTATAAATATATAAAATATATTTCTAATAGATACTCTTATTTAGCTTTATCAAAAAAGAATATGAAATGGCGTGGTACACCTCGGATGAATCCAAATTATAAATTATATATTGATCTAGATTTAAACTTACGCCCGGTGGATAATCCGAATATTCGGATCTAATAACTTCCATGACGTCATGGTATATAGATAAGAAGTGTGTTGCACTAACTAAAATGTTCATACTTCTACATGGCGGCTTTGAAATTATACTTTTTAGCGCTTATCCTTCTTGCGCTTTTCGTTATGAAAAAAAATTTAACAGTTATCGCGTCCAAACAAAATAAACAAAGCGAATATTTACAATTACTTGAAAGAATTAAAGCAGGATTTGAAGAAAAACCTTTAGTGCAAGACAGAGAAATAAACGTTGACCCGAAAGTTTCTACGCAACTGAAAGAGTGGGTAATGGGCGTCGCAACACTTTGCGTAAGTGGAAAAGCATCTTTGGTTTTTGAGGAATTTAAACCTCCAAATGTGGTTATAGAGTTAATAAACTATATTGAAAATCCTGACGCGCACCACAAGGATCAAGAGAAGGAAGCTAATATTTTAAAAGTCAATATAATACTAGACACAATTTATGACGCTGTTAATCGAGATTTACCCTACTTTCGATCTGAAGAGGACTTTTCACCATACGCACCGCATTACGCACCGTTACAGACAATACTTAGTTCTATTGTTATCCGTTCTCAACAAACGGTAGATGCGTATTTATCGTCATCTATCTGTACCACAACAAACGAAAGTTTTCATAAACTTACAGACAGGTCAATATTCTATAACTCTTTGTCAGCGGGATTGTCATCATCAGTTCTGTCTCATGTTTCAAAGAACTTCGGATACGAAATAAAAACCAACTTACTGTTCGATATAATAAGCACACTTGCTATTCAAATTCACATGATCAAGTCGATAGCATCTTTAGCAAATTTAGACACTAATGATGATGCGGTCAGGACGTTAATTTACCTATGCATTGCGTCAGATGGAATAAAGGATTCATTGGCTAGAACAGCGAAGGATTTGGCCTTAATAATAATGCAAAGGATGGTATCAAATATTCCGACATCCACTTCGAAGACTATTGATAAACAAATTTCCATGAAATTAATTACTGAAAAAGAAGAAGAGGGGATTATTAACCAATTCTCGTCAATTCCCTTTATCGGAGAATTATTTATGTTCATTGGTGACTCAATGAAAACTTATAGAATTGGTAAAAC